AACACGAACGAGGTGGACAAAAGGGGTTACACATCCATATCTCCCCTACAGTAGATCCTCTTTGCCATCAAATTTGTCCCGCCCACGTCTTTCGAAAGACCACACAATAGGTGAAAAGAAAAAACCTATTATCACTTTACAATAGTCCCCCTTGAGAACCCCAGTGAGTTGCCCCACAATCGATGAAGACAGCTCATAATTCTATTTTTCGCAATGCGTCGTGTGTTACGGAGGGAAGATGTAGTGTGCGTCCTAGTTAAACTGCTATGAGAAATTAGACTCCAATTACCACGTTCTTCTGTATATGTTCAGCCCAAGGTCACGATTAACAGTGCCGAGAAAACCGCAGAGCTAATAGACACGCGTCTAGAGGCTTTTTTGTCTCACGGCAGAAATCTTCTTCATTAATACACGCCCACTGTCTCTCAGCAATCGAAAAATCAGCCTAGTGCCATACCTAGAGCCTAAGTTTGTCTAAACAGCAAAAATACCTGTCCTCTAATATTATTCAATTAGTCGAACGTGTCCACTTCCAAGCACGATTACGCAGGCGAATTAAAAAACATTGCTACAAGTTACTTCAAGCACCATTTCACCCACTACCAAAAACAGAACTTAAAGAAAAAATATGAATACCTTCAGTGTATTCTGCCTGCAAAAGACCAAGATAAGCTTCCCACTTGTTGCCGATCACTTTTCCGCACGTGAAGCAGCGAATTGGAATAATCATAGTTCTCTCAGCTACTGTAAAAGAGCGTTCAGTCGAAATAAAATCGTAAGCACTTGAGAGGAGGTAATATATGGAGAGCGGTGAAACTCCAGACAGAGACCGAAAAAGTAAGCAATACGCAAATGTTTATTGACAAGAATTTGAGATAACAGGTGCACGTGGACAGTTATAAGGAGAATTACCAGTGACTCACGATGCTATTTGACAAAATGACAGCTGCAAAGCGCACCATTGTGCTCTAATGCGCTGAGTATAACTTGAAAGAAAACAAAAAGCGTAGGTCACGCTCAGTAAGACGACATGCTAGAAGGTGAAAACAATTGAAACCAGTTTGCTGACATCATTACCGTTATACAAGTAAATTCACACGTATTCAACAAGCGATTTCAAGCTAATTTGTTGAGACGTTAGCGATTCCAAAGAAAGAGGTGATGCATGAGTATCACAGAACAATGTCCAGTGCGACAGAAATTAGATACAATGTAACAAACCTGAAGATAACTTCAACAGGGAACCTTAGTCATGAAAGTGATCACAGTTCTCGAATGTTGCAAGGAACTAAGCCAAAAACCACGTTATTATTCATCATTATCACGATTGCCGCATGGAGAGGTACTTCACAATCAATCTGTTCTATCTACAAAAATGTTACCTTCGGATAGATAGGCCCTAGAGATATCTCAGCCTTTCAACAAACGAGGAATTAGGTCCTTCATCAAGGTGTCAGTTTGAGCCTCACTGACTCGTATGATCATCCGTTGATCTCTGATAATGTCACCCCACAGAAAGCTTTGAGAACAGCTAGAAGGTAGGTCCATCGTTGACTCGCAAAAGGCGCACAAATTTGCTTTTTAAATGTAATCAAATTACTATTTCACCTGGGACAAGTCCCTTGCACGGGATAAAGCAATCGCTCATTGTTCAAGTTCTTCGAGGCTAAACATTTTGCATGATAATGTGCTGCGCAAGATAGACATCGAACTAGCTGGGTGAGCTGAAGTGAACTTCTTTGTCTGCATATATGTCCTGTATTGCCTTCCAATTGACGTCGGTTGAACTAACCTTTTCAATATTATTACCACAAAGTCGGCATTCTCCCTTTTCAACGTAACAATCACTTGTAGGCAATATTTCTGTGGACGATTTCTCTATCAGTCCATATACCTTCTGCACATGCTTCGGCGGAAGGACTTCTTCTGGGAAAGGCAGTTCTTCGCTCTGGAAAATGAAGTTCTGAAAATTTTACACCCTTCCTTGTAATGTACTCTTGAAGGAATAGACTAGCCAACATGAAAAAGGTATCACATAAAAACTGAAATCATTACCGGCAACAACCAACGAAAAGTGAGCGCAAAGTTATTCCAAGGTCGGCTGTTCAGCAAATAGCACGCAACCCGCAGCCTAAGAAAGTCCATGATGAGCTTGCTTTACAAAATGAATTTCTATGCCTGCATATATCCAAAAAACATGGAAGTATTAGTCGCCTAGCCCTAAGATGAAATTTATTATATCCAACCTTCAATCGCGGCCAATCTCTTGAAAAAAAAAAACTTACGTCATATTTCACTCAGCGACTTCCGAGAAATGCAACATGAAAAGATTAGGCTATTAAATAGCCCTCAAACACCCTATTGTAGCCCAACGAGAGAAACGGTGAGTGCTCATCTGTCAGAAAACTTCGAAGCTACTGTTTGCGCACAATGATCTCAGTGATCAAAAAGAATTCATGAAAAAACCAGTGCAAC